AGAGGAGAGGAGAGGAGAGGAGAGGAGAGGAGAGGAGAGAAGAGAAGAGAAGAGAAGAGAAGAGAAGAGAAGAGAAGAGAAGAGAAGAGAAGAGAAGAGAAGAAAAGAGGTAGAGACTAACAGCAAAAACTCCATCAGCAATCTCTTCCAATAAAGAAATTTACAACCAGCAAGAAGGCCTGTCTACAGCTTGGCACCATCAAGGAGCAGTCAGTGCTCAGGTTTCTGGGTTTCTGACTTGTGGTCTCTCCTCCCACCCACCCCACCCCCCACCCCCGCCTGGCCCCGCCCTGCTCCATCTAGATTGTGGAATGATAAGGCAATGCATTTGCAAAGAAGAAGGATTGTACAGTAAATATCTTTCTATAGTTTTGAGAAGGAGCCAGGAGGGACAAATGTGCTTTCTCCTGAGGGCCAAGCCTCTGTTTTTGGCGCTTAGATTAATGGAAACTTTAATTCTTGGAAATTTTATGTGTTTTCCCAGACTTGGGGGTCGAGAGTATATGAAGTATAAACAACATGCTCATTTACTAGAAAGACCTAAAATTAGTCTTTAATGAAGGAAAATGAGTTCTCCCCACCTCCTTTTTTCCACTGTGGGTAGATCTGTTTAACCCCTTGAAGGCTGGAGCGCCTGTCCCCTCAGTGGCTTCTTTCTGTGTCCTTTGTTCTCTGCTGTTGTGACCTGATAGTAGCCACCTAGACGCCACTTGTGCAGTGAGTCCCACCAATGAAATACAGTTTGCAGTGCAGCGTGCTGTGCAGTTTATTGTCTGCTAATTTAACACCAAAAAAAATTAACATTTTTTTCACATAAGACAGGGCATCATGTATTCCAAGCTGGCCTAAAATTTGCTGTGTAGCTTAGGATGGACCTTAAACTTCAGATCCTCCCGCCTGTATCATCTAAGTGCTGGGATGACAGGTGACATCATGCTTGTTTTCAGAGGTTGTGCATGCTAGACTCTACCAACCAAGCTACACCCCTACTCCTTCTCTCTCGTTAAGTGATTTTACTGCTGTCCTTTGAGACAGGATTTCACTGTGTAGCCCAGGCTAGCTTGTAGTTCACTATATAGCCTAAAAAGACCTGAAATTCAAGGCAATCCTCTTGACTCAACCTCTTGAATGCTAAGACAAAAGAAGTGATGTACCTACCATACCTGGTTATTAAACATATGCTATGTATTTACATAAATAGAAATATATAAATATATGTCACTATTGCTGACCTTCAGAGACAGAAGGCAATAGTAGAAGAGATGGGATATTGATAAGATCTGACACAATTAAGAATGTGTGTAGGTAAGGAGGTAAGAGCAACAGCTGCTCTTCCAGATTGTAGTGATAAGAGCAGCGAGGCTGCATCCCCGGCACCTGGCTGCCCGCATGGCTAGCTTATGCCACGAAATAATTACACAGAAACTGTATTTTTTAAACACTGCCTGGCCCATTAGTTTCAGCCTCTTAACCCATTTCTAATAATCTATGTAGCACCATGAGGTGTGCTTACCAGGAAAGATCTTAACCTGCGTCTGTCTGGAGTGGGAGAACCATGGCGACTCCTCGACTAAGCTTCTTTCTCCCAGCCTTCTGTTCTGTTTACTCCATCCACCTAAGGGTTGGCCTATCAAGGGGCCTAGGCAGTTTCTTTATTAATAAGAAATCACTCCCACATCACCAGAGGACTTGGGTTCAATTTCCAAGCACATGTATGGTGACTCGCAGCCATCTCTAACTCCAGTTCCAGGGGATCCAACATCTGCTTCATACCTCTGTAGGGACCAGACATGCATGTGGTGCACAGACATACATGTAGGCAAAACACTTGTACAAATGAAATAAATAATAAAAGATCAAAATGTTAAGTAAAATGAAATACAGAAGGTACCATAGGAATTCAGGACAAAGCAGAACAGGCTGGGATAGCATGGGAATGTTTTTGGATTGTTTGGTATCCAATCTCGTCTTTGAAAAGCTAGGTTTATTTGGAGTATATTAAAAAACAGGGAAAAGACATTTCATAGACAAATAGATAGCAATGAAATGTGGGCAAGTTCCCTGGTATAGCAGAAGTGAATCTACTCAGCAACTAGGAAGCACCCATAAGGCAGCAGGCAATAAGCTAGAATGCAATGCTTTCTGAGCAGCCCAGTCACTAGCTTTCTTAACACAAATACTTGCCCATGTGGAAGGCAGGTTATTTGTAGGCACTACAAGCTATTATTTAGGAATAGAGAGTGTGAGGGTTGAGTTTCATTGTCAAGTTGGCTGGAATAAGAATCACTGAGGAGAATTGTTAATGTGTTTAGAGAGAGAATTAGCTGAGGGAGAAGACTCATCTGGAACATGGATAATATCCCATTGGTTGGGGTTCTAGACTGAGCAAAGAAAGGAGAAAGGGAGCTGAGTACCAGCATCCACCTGTGAAGATGGGCACTAAAAAGAAATCCCACACTAGCTTAGACTTGAGAATTAGAATAATAAAGGGTTATTTATTTAGTGGTAGACTTACAGATCACAGTCCTCTGCATGAACAGGGAATAGGAGCAGAATCCAGCAGCCAGAAGAGATAAAGAGAGTGCACACACATTACATGGGCATTTATAATATAAGAGACCATGCCCAAGTGGGCTGGTATCTTAAAAGCTACCAGCTGAAGGAGTTCCTACAGTACCTCCTCATTTTGTTTAAATAAGAGAGTTCTAAGCCTAATACAAAATTATATACAATAAGAACAAATATCAAGTATAAAAATTAAAATTACAACCAGCATAAACAATATCAAGCAAGAAACATGATAAATGTTTCAATAATCATCCTAACCTAAGGAGTATAAGTCTTGTATTAGAAATATCTTGGCCAAGCCATGAGAGGAAAGTAACTAAACTATCTAGTCTTCAACCCATTGAAGACCTGAGAAGGAAAATAATATTACCTGAGTAAACAGGAAGTGCAATCAAACAACTTCCAAAATGTGTAATAAATGATACAGACAACTGGCTACCTGGGTGATCACCCAAAGTCTCATTTGCAACATTGGAGCAACCAACTTTGGTTAAGGCTTAGAATAACTGATAGACCACTTTCAGAGACAGGAAATTTTTCAAAACTGTCTTACCCAGTCTTGGGAAGATTTGATAGTCCTTCTTCTTGTATCCTGCTTCTGTTATCCGGACATTGTGCATTTTGTCAATGGTAGAGGCTTGGGCAATTCCTTGCCCAAAGGCCAGTTTTGCCAAGAAGAAAACAAGCTCCAAGTGTAGTGTCTTCGGGGCTCAACATGCTCTCGGGAATAGAATGGTACTGCCAGGAGCAATTATGTCTCACGTCAACAGAACCCTAAGTTATTTAAATGACATATTCTACAGCTCTTTGAAGTGGTTGAAGATTACCTTTCTATGTGGAATACAATCTCTATGTATTTAAAGAACCTAATTAGTCTAACTATAAGTATGACAAACATGGATGACTCATGAATCTTAATACCAATATAACTTAGAGACTAAGACTTCATATTGGAATATTAAACAATCTTTAAACAACTGTGCTGTAAATGAGGACAATGACTTCAAAATGTGAAAAATGTATAAGTATCTTGATCAGAGATAGAAATGTATAGTGCAATATGATAAATATATCCTAAAATTATATTAATATACAAAATGTCTTAAGCAGAGGTAGAAGCATGCATACATGCAATATTACAAAATAATTTTGCCTAGGTGTACAAATATTGTAGACATAATAGGAGCATATTCAATATATTCTGAATTTGTATCACTATACAAGAATCTATACCAATGTAAATTGTCTATAAATAATAGCTCACAAGAAATCTCACTATTACTCATTATTATTATTATTATTAGTGTACGTAAGCTCATAGTAATCTATTATTCCATCCAATTTATCTCTTATTTTTTTTCAATGAGTTCCCTGAGCCTACATAATTTCCACCCCAATCCAAACCCCAACCCTATACCAATTATAATCAACCCCTAATAGATGTCACTAACCCGGAAGACAAACTTTGTTGGGAGAGGGAAAGTCATCTTCTAGAGTTACTTCCAGCTTTCATGGGGATGATGTTCTTTCTATGGGATCCTGTGAAAGTAAAATGATGGTTAAAGTTCAAGATTACTGTCTTGTATAATTGCAAATAGTCTCCGAGTATTCTGTAGGGTTTTTCTGAGGCTCCTATTTGGAGTTCTGGCCAGAAC